TACATGATTGACCCATCAGGGGTGTCTTATGTAAGTTGTAATACTTCTCATGTAAATGATGGGTGAATCACCTTTAAAACACTGCTCTGTTTTATTATTTGAAGTAAATGTACGTTTATGCTGTTTAATGGTTATAAATTTTGAATGTTATGTTTACATTTTTCTTCAGGGATATTATGGTTGTGCAGTTGGCAAGGCCAAACAAGCAGCAAAGACCGAGATTGAGAAGCTGAAACTGACAGACATGACGTGTAAAGAATTGGTGAAAGAGGGAGCAAGAATGTAAGTATCTTTAGGCCTGGAGTAGCTAACGAGAGAGATGAGTGGAATGTTTTTTTTTTTTTCTGTGGAGATCACCGTCTTACAAATATTTTCTTTACTTTTTTTTCGCATATTCTGTGTCTGTGATGTTCATTTATTGCAGATAAAAATCTGTTTTTGCAAAAATGTTAATAAATATATTACTTTGCACAAAATTATACTTTTTTTTTCTATTTTATTATATGAAAATTATTTTAAAATAAAAGTTGTGAAGTTTAGTTTGGGCTTAATGTAATGTGACGATTGAGTATACGCTAACGCGAAGTTCTTAAAAGTGTAATGTAACGATTCAGTATACGCTAACGCGAAGTTCTTAAAATTCTCATTTCTGGGAGCTTCTGTGTCAGTACCATATTTTGCGATTGCTTTGAGAAGGATTTTGTGCAGTTTCAAATGTTCTTGCCATGAAAATTATTTCATGTATTCATGAATCTTTGTATTTACTTCTCGGTATAAATTACGAATCCAGTATTTTGTTTCAGCATCTATCTTGTTCATGATGAACTAAAAGATAAACAGTTTGAATTGGAATTGAGCTGGGTGGGAGCCGAGACAAAAGGGGTCTTCGAACGTGTGCCCCACTCAGTGTTCCAGGAAGCAGAGAAATCAGCCAAGGCGGCCATGGAGGCCGAGTCTGACTCGGACACTGAGGACATGTGAAGTGCGGGAAATAGCCATAGATACAGAATAACGAACAGTGAATGAATGGTGTGCAGACATGTTACTCCAAAAAAAATTCATCCGTGAACTGACAAGTTCAAATTGTATAACTGGGTCATGAAAATGATGCCATGGAACCAATACATTCACAGATTCAGAATTTTGATAAAAATGAAAATTATTGTCACGTCGAGGTTAATTTGGGAGTACAAAAATCAATCTGAGTGTTTCCCTTGCTGTAAGAGTTGAACAATAGTTATTTATTCTGGGATAAATACTTAGCATTATTCAACTGTGGCTCAAAAATAATATTTTACATATGAAAATTCCTTAGACTAATCTGAACTCTATTTTATTCTATAACATGAAGTACTTATTTAACCTCTTATCTGGAAATTTTGGAAAATGTGTTGAACTCTTCCATAACAGAAAACAAAATTACAGGAAGATCTGATCTATAGGAAAAAATATTACGATTATCAGTGTTTGGTTCATCATGTAAAAACCTGCATTAGACATAATGCTGGTCAGGGAGTTAACTAAGTTGTAAAGACGATTAGTTAACGTAGCACAATATGTGATGTTTGCCTACATTTTGTTAATATCTGTATGTAAAAACTGAATAATAATACTTGTAACAAAGATCTCAACTGTGTTGATAGTTTTTGCCTCACATAATTAATTTATAAATACCGCATTACATATACAGGGAAATAATGAATAGTATGGTTTTTGCAAAACATGATTTACTGGCAACGACGTCGCTTTGAGTACAAGATTATATACAACATTTCCAGTGTTATACGAAGTAACCCTTTTTTTTATAAATCTGACCCTGGTTTTAAGTGCCTTTCAGACATTAATTCACTAGCAGATGACTTTCGTGTTGGAAGTTCTGTATAGTTTAGCGATAGGAAGTAACGAGGGAATATTTAATTTTTACAGAACTACTCTTGCGTAAACTGAAGTTGCTTGCTCTTAGGTATGACACTCGAACCTTCATAATTATTACATGAATTAAGTTCTGGTTTGATTACAGATGGGATTTGGTATGTTGTGTTTAAGGATATTTTGAGTACCTTAGATTATGTAACACCGAATGATGGGATGATTAGTGAACGGTGAATTGGTAAGGATGTGGAATGAAGTGGTCGGTCTCGGTAGTGAATTGGGTATCTCAGTAAAGGTACGAGAAAAATCTGAACGAAACATTCGGTGGTGTAACACGTGACAGACAAGTTTCAAATTAACATCAAATACGAAACTCCAACATTGTAGGTGTCTTGGGAATAGGATAGAATAGAATTTATTTACATCCCATACAGTCAACTAC